ATCTGGCAGCAGGTGCGAGTGGCGGCGGCGGCAGCGGAGGTGGCGGTCCAGTAGGAAGGCCTCGGCGGGCTGGGTCCGGCCCGTGGGCTGTAGTTTGGGGACCCCTGCACTATACCATGATGGCTCTCTAAAGTGGTATCACACAACTTTAATGGTGCAGTCTGAAAGAAGCCCAGGATTGGAATTGTGTGGGTCATTAGCTTTTTTCTTTTGCAGTTCTTCTCCAGGAGCTCTCTCCAAAGTTAGGGTTTTAACTAACCTGATGGCCTCAGGACGCTGTTCCATCACTAATAATAATAATAATAATAATTATTATTATTATTATTATTATTATTATTATTATTATTATTATTATTATTATCATTATTATTATTATTATTATTTCTATCCCGCCCCTCTGAAATGCAATTGGGGCAGCTTACAGTCATAAAACATCACAGCAATAAAACATCAATGTCAATACCCTAACTACCCACCCACCCCTTTAAAAAGTATTAAACTAATCAATTTTAAAAATATGGTAAAACAATAACAAAAGAAAGAATATATCCGATACAGTTTCAGTGGCAGCATAAGAAAGGGGGGAATTATTTAAAACTTTAAAACTATTATTGGAGAAAGATTCATCTGAAGGCCTTTCAGCTTCCCTAGGTGGAATCAGAAAGCAGTAAGGTCTGGAATATATTAAAATAAGGAAAGAAAGAAAGAAATTTGGGAAAAATAAGGAAAGAAAAAGTCTGAGCTAACTTCCTTTCTAGCCCCCTCCTCATATGCTAGCATACTATAAGGAGGGGGCTAGATTTCTGCATTATTTACAGAAGAAAGTATGAAACAAAATCTAGGAAACCTACCTTTTTTGGACTACAGGTCCCAGAATCCTGAAGCCAGCATGACCATCTGACATTCTGGGATCTGTAGTCCCCAAATGCTAATTATCCTGATAACCATGGATGCAGCTAGATTGTACAACAATGCAATTTGACACTACTTTTAAGTGCTGTAGTTCCATGCTATGGAATCCTGGGATTTGTAGCATTACCAGCTCTTTAGCCTTCTCTGCCAAAGAGGGCAGGTGCCTCACAAAACTACAGATCCCAGGATTCTATAGGATGGAAGCTATGGCAGTATGAGTGGTGTCAAACTGCATTCTTTCTACACTTTAGATGCACCGTCTGATGCTGGGAAGCTGGGAACAAGACATAGGTCCAAAACACACTGCAGAAATAATCCAGTTTGAGACTGCCTTGGCTCAATGCTAGGGAATTCTGGGGACTGTAGTTTTGTAAGACATTTAGCCTTCTCTGTCATAGGGCTCTGGTGCCACAATAAACTACAATTCCCAGGATTGCCTAGCAGTGAGCCAGGGCAGTTAAAGCGGTCTCAAACTGGATTATTTCTGCAGTGTGCTTTGGACCATAGAACAAAATAATGATCAGAAAAGAGGTTGCGATGGTTGAGACAGACAAGGGAAACATGACCTCCCTGTGCCTTGTGGGCCCTTTATCTTTCATCCATCCCTTCTTTTAAGCAGGAATGGACAAACTTCATGGTTGCAGGATGTTTTTGATTTTTATTTCAAGGCTTGGCTCAATGACTGGAGTCAAGAACAAAAGGGTGGTGTCTCTGGGAGATGGCAGGCCTTCTTCCAAATGGCAAAAGGAGTCTATTGCCTCCAGGGGCAAATGTTTGGGAGCAGCTGCAATAATAGTCCAGTTGCTGTTATTTTTGGGTCACCGGGTCATCCTACTTCACCAGAGCATAGAATTGTGTCTGACACACAGCCGGTCCTGACCCATAACCCCTGTCCCCTTTCATGCCTCCCAAGTCCTCTAGGGCTGCATCTGCACTGCAGAAATAATCCAGTTTGACATCACTTTAACTGCCCTGGCTCAATGCTATGGAACTGTAGAGGTTGTAGTTTTGCGAGACATTTAACGTCCTCTGTCAGAGAGTGCTGGTGCCACAGCAAACTACAAAATCCCACAGAATGGGATTCCATTCTACGGGATCTCATAGATCCCATATGGGATCCCAGAATTCCATAGAATGGAGCTGTGGTAGTGCTGCCATTCCACTTTTACTTCTCTGGCTGCCTCCTGTAGCATTCTGGAGGTTTGTAGTTCATCTCTCTGGCTGAGAATTGTCAATGGCTCTCCCTAAACTATAAATCCCAGAATGCAATAAAAGTGGGATAACAACACTATAAGAGTATAGTGCAACAATCTTCTTTAAAGTAGTGTCATATAAAGTGGATTATTTTGCCAGTTTGGATGTAGCCCAGGACAGAACTGCTCTGACAGAGAGAAGGAATATCTGGGTTAGAACCATCCATCCTTTGGTCTATATGGTCTCTAAAGATAGAGTGCAGTCTCCAAAACTACAAATCCCATGATTCTCTAAGGTGTCAGCAAAAAATACAAAGTAGAAACTGATAATAGCTCTAAATCTCTCTCCTTCACTGAGGCTGCATCTGCACTGCAGAAATAATCCAGTCTGACACCACTTGAACTTCCATGTCTCAATGCTATGGAATTCTGACAAGGAAGGCTCACAAAACTACAAATCCCAGAATTCCATAACATTGAGCCCTGGCAGTTATTTTTGCGGTGTGCAGATGCAGCCTGGGTGTGCAATCTTCATGCTGGGAGCTGTTCTGCTGCAGAAACCATGTTGATACATCCAAATCTGGGTTTGTTCATTTCTTTTTGCTGTAAAACAGTGAGATTTGAGGAGTTTTAACGCAGTTTGAGTGAGAGGAGAAGGTCTGAATCTTCACTGCAGAAACAATGCAGTTTGGCACTGCGTTTCTGACACTTAATGGTTTAACAACCACAAGTAACATTGCAATAATCATTATAATCTGTGACAAGCCTGGATCTGTATTATCTGTAAGGCTCATTGTTCCTCATCTGTGAAATGGGGGTAACTGAAGGTAGAGGAATCTTATAATTGATGAAAAAAAGACACAAAACATGAAAAAGGTCCTTTCAATGGTAACTTTATTACAATCTAGAAACTCTTACTTGATTACACCAAGAAAAGTAACTGCATTGCTACTTACTGTATTATGTTACTTTAGAAACACAACTTTGTCTTTCTGCATTGAAAAACAAACAAACAAAAAACCCACAACTTACTAGAGATCATTGTGTTAACTTGTTACTTCTAAGATCTGAAGACCAAAGTTTATTCTCTCTTGATGTTTTTTTTTTCCCCCTATGAAAATCTAGGATGAAGGGAATGTAAGAAAGGATTCTACATTCTGGAAAACTTCTCTGGAGTTTTCCCCTTCTTAACATTCACAAGGTGGGCAAAATGTGAAGGACTGACACATATTGTCTAAGGCTGCATCTGCACTGAAGTATGAATGGAGTTGGACACCGCTTGAACTTCCATGGCTCAGTGCTAGGGAATCCTGGGATCTGTAGTTTGTTGTGGCACCAGAGCTCTCTGACAGAGAAGGCTAAATGTCTAGCAAAGCTACAAACATGGAGAAATGTAAAGTACTGCACTTAGGGCAAAAAATGAACTGCATAGATATAAGATGGAGGAAAACTTGGCTTATCATGACTAGGTGTGAAAGGGACCTAGAAGTCCCAGTAGACCACAAGTTGAACATGAGTCAACAGTGTGATGCGGCAGCTAAAAAGGCCAATGCAATTTTAGGCTGCATCAATAGAAGTATAATGTCTAGATAAAGGGAAGTAATAGTGCCACTGTATTCTGCTTTGGTCAGGCCCCACCTGGAACACTGTGTCCAGTTCTGGGCACCACAATTCAAAAAGGATATCAAAAAACTGGAGCGTGTCCTCAACATTAGGAGGAATTCCTGACAGTGAGAGCTGTTTGACAGTGAAACACATTCCCTTGGAGAGTGATGGAGTCTCCTTCTTTGGAGGTCTTTAAAAAGAGGCTGGATGGCCATCAGTCAGGGATGCTTTGATTGGGAGTTCCTGCATGGCAGAATGGGGTTGGACTGGATGGCCCTTGTGGTCTCTTCCAACTCTATGATTCTATGATTCAATGAAATCCCAGAATTTCATAGCATTGAGCCAAGGCAGTTCAAGAAGTGTCAAACCACGTTATTTCTGGGGTCTCAGCAGACACCTCGGATTCAGAAGGAAAGAGAAATCACCGTTTATACTTTTCCAATTGTCTCCTGCGTGATAAACTCCTTACTGTCAGGAAGTTCCTCCTAATATTGAGGTGGAATCTCTTTTCCTGTAGCTTACATCCATTGTTCTGGGCCCTATTCTCTGCACATTTTTACATACATTTATTCAATCTCTGACACCATTAATGAAAACGTGCACGTATCAGTTCCTTTCCACTGGAGAGGAAACAGGATCTTCGGATTTTCTTTCTAACCAGTTTTGAAATTATACGCAAGCCAACATGGATGATTAAAACTGTGCGCACTTCTTTAAAGGTAAGGGAAAAAAATCTTGAAACTATGGGGAAAGTGCATTAAAACATCGGAACGTTAAGAAAAATGCACTGAAATGCAAACACTCACAAAAGTGTGCATCAATATATGTAGAATTTCCTGACTGGGAAGAAAAGAAAACGGCTTGTAACGTGAAATGGCATGCGGATGGAAATGAAAAGGACTGTTTTTGCTGTGGTACCCAGGCTGTGGAACTCCCTGCCACTGGAGAACAATCCATCTCCTTTCTGATTGGTCCTCTTATTGGTCAGACATCTCTTCAGGTGCATCTATACTGTAGAAATAGTGCAGTTTGACACCGCTTTAACTGCCAGTGCTCAATGCTATGGAATTGTGGGTCGCCACGAGTCGGGATTGACTTGAGGGCAGTTAACAACAAACAACAAGTTTTGTGAGATCTTTAGCCTTCTCTCTCAAAGAGCTCTGGTGCTGCAACAAACTACAAATCCCAGGATTCCATAGGATGGAGCTATGACAGTTAGAATGGTGTCAAGCGGCATTCATTCTGCAAGGTTGCAACAATCCAAACCAAGGACACCAGTGGAACCAGGGAGCCAGCGTGGTGTAGTGGTTTGAGCATGACAACTAGGAGTCTGGAGGCCGGGGTTCAAATCCCTGCTCTGTCACGGAAACTCCCTGGGTAACCTTGGGCAAGTCACACTCTCTCAGCCTCAAGGGAAAGGCAAGGGCACCCCCCCTCAAGAAACTTGCCAAGATGTTTGGGGAGCAGTGGGATCAGCCCCCTTGAACACCTCCTTAGGATGTCACTTGATGCGCCTCGCACCTCCCGCACCCCCTTAGTGTACGCTTCCCTACATTTGAGAGCAGATGCTCCCCTAGGAGTTTATCACACGGGAGGAAATTAGGATTTTAAGCAGTAATTAACCAGTGAAAATCACTCAATTGACATTAAAACGCTATTAAAATGAGATTAACAGAAGAGCCATTATCCCATGAATAACCAGGGAATAACCAGGCAATAAACAGCAAAAAGTCATTCACGGGAAAATCGCATGAATGATTTGCTGCTGTTTCTTGCCTGGTTATTCACGGGATAATGGCACTTTAATCATGTTTCATCTTGACATCGTGTGAAAACCATTAGCGCAACTGCGGGATTATCACGGGTTATTCACAGGATAATAGCACTTTGAACACTACGTCGTGTGAAAACCATTAGAGCAATTGCAGATTTATCACAGGTTATTCAAATAGCACTTTGCACACGACGTTGTGTGGAAAGTGTTAGTGCAATTGCCGATTTATCACAGGTTATTCACGGGATAATAGCACTTTGAACATGACGTTGTGTGAAAGCCATTAGCACAACTGCAGATTTATCACAGGTTATTCATGGAATAATAGTACTTTGAACATGATGTAGTGTGAAAACCATTAGTGCAACTGTGGGATTATCACGGGTTAATCACCCTTTATACTTCCAATTGTCCCCCGTGTGATAAATTCCCTAGCCCTGTTTAAATATTTGAAGGGGTGCCATATTGAGGATGGAGCGAGCTTGTTTTCTGCTGCTCCAGAGAATAGGACAAGGAGCAAGGGATGCAAGCTACAGGAAAAGACATTCCATCTCAACATTATTTAAGAGCTTCCCGGTGTAAGAGCTATTGGACAGTGGAATACATTGATTTGGAGAATGGAGGAGTCTCTTTCTTTGGAGGTCTTTAAACAAAGGCTGGATGGCCATCTGTCACAGGGGCTGCTTTGATTGTGAGTTCCTGCATGGCAGAATGGGGTTGGGCTGGATGTCCCCTTGAGGTCTCTTCCAATTCTATGATTCTATGATTCTGAGGCGCTTGCAAAAAGGGGAGAAGAGTGAGTGAGCACAAGTGCCTCAACCCCCTGCATCTTCTTGGAGAGGGGGAGAAGCAAAAGAGTAGAAGAACCCAGTCTTCCCCTCCTTTCTTTCTTCATTCAGAGGCACAAAAAAGAACACTGTCCAGTCCCCAAACACACTCTCAGAATGACTCCCAATTTTTTGGAGGCCAGAGACTATGAGAGCGATTGAGAGGAGACAGAAAGAGAGAAAGAAATAATATAGGGCCTTTACAGACTGCCAGAAATAATGCAACTTGAGTCCACTTTTAACTGCCCTGACTCAGTGCTAGGGAATCATGGGAACTGTAGTTTATTGTGGCACCAGAGCTCTCTGACAGAGAAAGCTCAATGTCTCAGGAAAAAAACTACAATTCCCATGATTCCCTAGCACTAAGCCAGGACAGTTAAAGTGAACTCAAGTTGCATTATTTCTGGCAGTCTGTAAATAGTTTGCTTTTCCTGTCTTTCTGAGAGGGAAAGGAGAAGAGGAGGAGGAGTAGATTGAGAGAAAGAGAGATAAAGTTCCCTTTTCCTGTCTTTCTGAGAGGGAAGGGAGAGAAGAAGGAGGAAAAGTGGAGGAGGAATAGACTGAGATAAAGAGAGAGAGAGAGAGAGAGAGAA